TATTTATATATTTATATATTTATATATTTATATTTATATAATTTTATATTTTTATATATTTATATATGAGTTGCAGAGATCACGGTAACGCTGTCGATGAGTGGAAGGAGGAATGTAAGCAGGTCAAAAACTTATCATTTTTTTCCACCTTAAACAAGGAAAAACAGAAGAAATCAGTTGAGACTGCCCAACTATTTTGATTGTTTTTGATGCGATTTTTACCGAAACTTTGTAGGTGATAAATTTTCTTTTCTGCTTTTCTTTTTTCTGTTACATTGTTACATCTGTAAATAGACAGTTCCAAATGTTACAATTCTAAAAATTCCAAATAAGACGAATTTTTAAGTTGTTTTGAGGTTTCTTGATAAGTTGCGCTGTAGTTGTTGAGACACACTTAAACATTTACGTATTTTGTGTTCCGCACTTTTCTTCGTACTATAGTTTGGCAATGCAGTTGCTGTTGCTGTTGCTGACGTGTGTTGTGCTAAACTGCGACTGTGGAAAGTTTGTAAGAGGTTAGCTAGCAAGGAAGGAAAACCACGGGAAAAATAGGAGAAAAAACACCACATATTTCTTGAAAAAGGGGAAAAAATTCTCTTTTAGTTGAATTCAGTGGATAAACTTAGCTAAAGTACGTATAATAATAGTGATTGTCTGAGACCTTAGTTTTTTTCCGTGTCTCACTCTTCTTAGTTATGTATTAGCAAAATTAATCGTTTTTTTTTTTTTTCCCAACAAAAATCCGTTTTTAAAAAGTTTAAAAAAAACAAAATTTTTCTTCTTATTTGTTTTATTGTTATTATTTTCAACTTGTATGGTACGGACGGAAAGGAGGAAAAAGTGTCTAAATTTATTGCACTCTAAAATGCTGTCGTTTGTTTGTGGTTTCATGAGAATCGATGTGTTTGTTGGAATTTCGATAAATTGACGTATGTTTATTTTTTATAAAAAAAAATGGTGTTCTTGAAAGAAAAAAGAGAAGCTTTGGAAGATATTGCATGCCATCAAAAACCATTAAGGTCATTCTTCAAGATAGATTTGGAAAATGCTGATTTGAATGCCTTAGAAAAAATGAATTTCTGTGCATTAATTTATGGAAAATTGATTTGTGAGTGTATGAGCGTTTTGGTTAGGTGAACAAATGAATACTGTTATTCACACATATTTTTAACCTCTTATTTTGCACATTTTGATTATACCAGTTGAAAAACAGTCGTTAAAGAATCCTTTAAAATATTTGCTCATTAGCATATTTATTCTGATAATTAGAGTGCATTAAAATTGCTTATAAGTAGTAGTTCAATTATTTCAAACAGAAATTAGAATCAGGGTGTATTCTTGATGAAATCTTAATTTTATTGTTTGATGTCTCTTGTAAGATGTAACTTAACGGAAAATTGATGACTATAGTTTGATTGAGTGGGAAGAGAAAAAAAAGTGGCTGACTGAATTGTTGATTACAATAATGTGGCAAACTTAGTGTATCAAAAAAATATTTGCAGTGGCAACAGTAAACTTTCTTCTGAAACGGATCGGTATGGCACGTATTTGTTGCAGCTGTGTTACGATTTAGCAAGCTGAAGTGTTGGTATGCTGGATATTTTTTTTTTCTTTGTTGGCTAATAAATTTTACCATCAAATCAACGTATTACAAAAACGTATGTGCATTTTCTCTCACAGTTTTTCATTCAAGACTGGTTGTTTGTTTTGTTATTACTCTCTTTTTCTTACTACATTATTTTTATTCAAAATCTAATCTATAATAAATCAAATGTCAGATAAAATTTTGGTAGTTTAACGGTTTAGTGTTATAACATCATTTTGGTACATCAGTGCAAGAAAAAAAAAAGAGAAGTGAAAAAGAATGAAAATAATGTTTTATAAATGTATATAATTTTAAAGAAAGTGTAACAAGTGAAATGAGTGGAGGAAATAATAAAAAAATGTTTTTATTTTTACTAGAGAATTTAAGCTGTTTTCTTCTCGCTTTCTGAACGTTTGATGCAGAAATTATAACTTGGCTGAGGATAACAAAGTTGCAAAGTAGCTGTTGAATTTAATTTTTTTTGATTGGCTGCAACTGAGGATATGGATTCCGCTATACTTATTTGAGCTAAGAATAGGATAGGAAAGATTTCAAATGAAATGTTTGAGAAGTAATAGAAAAATTCTTCCTATATCATTTGTTAAGCGGAAAGCAACAGCGTACGCATTTGTGTTTTAATCTTTTGGTTTCGCCAGTTACTTAGCGACTAACCACTAATTGTTTTTCACCTCAAACAACATGTTGATCATAAAAAATATAGGCATATCTGAAAACAGCGTTTGTTAATTGTTTTGCCCAGAGTATTTTTTTTCTTATTTAATTTTCACTCAGACATAGTTGCAGTGGTAATTCTGGTAATGAAGTTGAAACGTTTAGAGCAGCCTCAGTTGAATCTTCTGCTCTTTTGCGAGAAAATTCAGTTTGTTTGAGAGTTTAATCGCTGTGCTTCGCTTAACAGAAAAGTTAGAGTAACGTAGTTTAAACAGGTTTTTGATGGCAGTTTTGCCTTCCTGCGCAAATTTTATTGACATTTGCTATTCTTAGATTTAGGCTAGGGCTTTTTCATTACTTTACTTCTCAGATATCAACTAAAATGATTTTTCTCTTTCTTATACTTTTATAACGAAAATGAAGACCCGAGGTACTTGAAAATAAATATTTTGCTTTACTACGTTCTGAATTCTGTGAGGCATTTTGCTGCCTTTCTATTTAGTTGTTTGTTTTTGAAGCACATTGAAACGCTAAGAGATCTGTTGGTAAACGTGTAATTTAGTCATGATGACAAAGGTAAAAGAGGATTTTTTTTATTTGTTTCTTTCTTTCTTTCTTTCTTTTTTGTGTTATATGCTAAAGATTGAGGTTTTTTGTTATGAACATTGGCATTTTACTAACGCATAAACGTAGACAGTAAGTTATGTAGTTTGATCTGTTTATGGGCGCTTTTGACATTTTTACTGCTTCACATGTATAACAGTTCTTTTACCCATGAAATCCAAGTTTTTTAAACTTTACAACCATTCATGAAATTGAAGCTTATGTCATCGATACATTTTTATTGATCAAAGATAAAAGAAGAAACAGCAGATTGAATGAGATGGATTATAGGTTTTTCTTAGTTAAAGACGATTATCAATAAATTTCACAACAAAATGTTTTACCTGACCATAAACTTCCTGTGAATATTAAAAAAATATCACTTAGTTTAAGCAGCAGTGGGATCCACAAAAATTTTTTATTTTTTTTTTCAAACCAGTAATCTCTCCAATTGCAGACAATTATTTACATTTATTACGCAACAGGAAAATAACAATAAGTAGGTAGTAAGTTGACTGTAACTGTACAGTGCATTATTTGAACAATTTTTTTGTCTGCTGTTGTTACGCTTGTCTCATTTTATCATTTAGGAAAGAAATAAAGAAAAAAGCTTGAAAGAAACTAAAGTTTTATGGCAGTTTTCAGCTTTAGAATGATGTGAAAAAAAAATCTAGCACTGGTTGTATAATGTTGTTTAATAACAACAATAAAAATAAAAATGTAAAATTTTTGAACATTAAACAGTAATTCAGCCTACTGTTTAGATAAAGTTTTCATTGTGAAATATGGCGACCAGTTAAGAAACATTGGCTACATCTTAATTTACACCAACAAAACGAATGTAAATATTGTGCGTAATGTTGTAAGTTATTTGCTACATAAACTATTGTTTTCTTTATTAAACAGTCTGGTACGAAGAAGATGTTGATTTCTGCTTATTCATCAGCCTTTTTCTTTTGAATTTTTGGTAGAGGAAGAAGGGGAGAAAAATGAAAAGAAAAAAGTTAAGAAGAATTAAGGAAGCTAAAATATGATTGCTGCTAAAGGTATTTGTGTAGAAATTATTATGTAATATAGAAAGCTTTTTGCGACACTTCCAATTGTTACTGCTAAGCGCTAGACAATTGAAAAGCGATAGATATCAAATGGCATGTCTAAATGTACTTTTTTTTTATATGGTTCATATATGTAAAGTGTTCCAAACTGTAATGCCACAAAAGCAGAAGACAGTTCTTGCTCAAAGTTTTGTGTACACTGGCACTCAAAATTTATTTAGTAGTTTTATTTGTCTGGCCGTGCCCTCTGCTTCAACTTCACCCGTTGAGGTTAATCCACTCGGCAGACTTACGACAGGTCAATCATTAGCCAGAGAACTGATGGAATTTAAGTGTAGGAATAACAGCTATATGTCTTTTGCTAATTGTGGGTTTAACCGTATCAAACGGTTTGAAAAAAAAGTGTAAAAAATGTAGATAATGTGCAAAGGGTTTTTGATTTTGACGTTTGCTACGTTACGTTTACAAACATTACTGATCTGCTCATTAGAAACAAACCCTAAAATTGACAGCAATAATAAGGTAGTAAAAAATGTATCATTTGATTTGTGATTGAAAAAAAAAAGCCAATCTTTTGGCAACACTACGTTTTATTTGAGTGGAATTAACACTTGTCCCATCCATTTGATTCG